GTAGACATTACCAAACAACACTTAACAATGTCTTAAAGTGCACCTATCATGCTATTGTTAAGCATATATTATGTGTCTCAGATATAAATATATAAAAACATGTCTATGATGTGTTTTTCTCAAAATACAAACAGATCATGCATTTTAGACATCCCTCATACCTAGGGTTGGGAACCAAAACTCGGTTCCAGGTGAGAACCGATAAGAAAATGCTGGGTACCGGGTACCCCTACAAATGACACAATTGTGGTTCTGCTTAACGGTAGACCCTGTATTCCACCGGGTCCGTCTGCGCCGCGGCGACCCGTTGGAATGGGGCGGACTGGCCATCTGTGTGTTCTGGAGAATCACAGAACGGCGGGTCGTCAGCGGGCCGTTGATGGCCGGCTCGGTTCGCTGACGGCCGCCACCGCCCTTAATCTTTTTAAACGGCATCATGTAAGTTGCGCTGACAGGCGACAGAGGTCCCCAGGCCTCCCCCGCCCTCCCGTAGACAGTTCACGAGCTCAGTCACTTCATAACACCAAAGATGGATCGCGGTAAACGCTCTAAAGTGTGGCTCCACTACACTAAAAAAGAAAAAGACAAGGCACAGTGTAATGCCTGTTAATAGCTTTCCACAGGCATAGCTCAGTTAAAATAAAGCACAGCTATTGTGTAATACATTTGTATTGCATGTATTTTTTTAATTTGTAAAAATGTCAGTTAAAGCCTAAAAGAAAAAAGATATTTTTGTTATCTAAACGTTTGACCTCTTTCTTTTATAATTTTGGAATCGAAACGGGGAATCGATAACAACCGGAATCTATAAGCAAAATCGGAATCGATAAATTTCAGACGATACCCATCCCTACTCATATCCCTCTATTCCAGCCCTGTTAGAGAAACGAGAATTTTGGGTCCTTAGCTTGAAAAACATAAAGAGGAGGCGGAGCTAATGACTGATCAGAATACTACCGGAGATAAAGTTACATTCTGCTGTGATAAAGCGCCATCCTGTTCTAAACCACATCAAGGATTATTTCTGAAACAGTATGGAGCTCAAATGCTTTTTCTCTTGCGGGTTTACCACAAGGTGAGTTCCTTTTTTTATTTCCTGCTTTTTAAACACATGTGCTCTCCAGTACAGGTTAGCTCTGAGTGTTAGCAATGCTTGCTAATGTAAACAAATACCATATTACGTCCAAAACACGTCAGGCATTGTTTCTGATAGCAACTCTCTCTGGGTCCAACATCTGAAATTACGTCATATCGGCAGCAAATCTGTATCCGCTCGTTGGACCCCCCGTTTTTAAAAGATGTGGGTACAGAGGAAAAGAGAAAGGGATTTATTTTCTGATGCTGCGTGAGTTCCCCCGACACACCGGGGACACATATTTATGTATAAAAGACATCAAGAAGTGCATTTTGCATGATAGGTCCCCTTTAAAACTTATGTGGAACATATATCTTACCCTTCTCTTCTGGGCCTTTGTTAGACGTGGCTGTGTGGCCTCTTCTTCTTCTTCTTCTTCTTCTTCTGCTGCTGCTGCTGCTTCTGCTTCTGCTTCTTTTCCACCCTCCATCTTCATGGTTTCCACTCCATTTAACACGTCTTCCACCTTGTAAGATTGAGCAAGGAAAGCTTATTTTCCACATTGACGTTTATCTAATACCTATACTTCATGTGAGAATGAACAATGAGATACCAATAAAAAAAGATGTGTGTTCATATTTGCTTGTACCTTGGTGTCAATTGAAGATTTGAGTTGACTTAATTCCTCCTCATGTTTATTGTTCAGGTCAGCCTCTAATTTTGCAATCTCTTCAGTCATCTGTTTCCTCCTTTTCTTGTCATTTTTGGGGATGGCATTTTTCATGCTCTGGATTTTAGCTAAAATGAAACACAAGAAAGATCAACAAATCAATAATACAGCGTGTGCACACTCAATGCAAAATAGATCTATTATGTGTTCCTGAATGTTGTTTGAAAAAGAGGGGGGGGGATCAATTACATAGCTGGGACCCTCACAGATGGCATTAACCTGTCTCAATGTTGGCTTAGTAGTTAGAGGAAATTGAAACATATATCATAACATATATCTTAAAGCCATAAATCATATGTGACAGGAAACTGTTTCTCCACCTCTCTCTGAGTTAAAATAATTTAGCCTACATTCTACTCAAGCCATTCCCAAATGTGTGGTGTCAAAACTTCTGTTTTGCCTTTAACAAAGTATTCAAATCTTGTTTTGACATCAGTGATGGAGTTTGGATGACTGTCATAAGAAGCTTGTAAGTTTCAGACTTCTGGGTTCTGTGCAAAACTCAGTTTTCTGTCTATTCACTGACAAAACACTAAACCTTCAATCACTGTGTGCCACTAGTTAAAAAGCAAAACGCACAAACAGACACACAAATACCTAAGAATAATAACACAGGCGTTACCATAGGTTTTTTTTATCCTGTGACAACATTTCTGACTACTCCATGGTTTGCTAGTATCTAGATCGTGCCAGACTCTCAGAACACAAACAACACATGAGGTGCACTGCAGACAAGCTGAAAGTGAACTAAACACAGTTAATATTACCTACCTTGCATATCTTTCTTCTCCTTGCGGTGCTGCTTGGCCAGATGCTCCTCTGGTGTCTCCTCTATCTCCTCCATTGCTGATGCTGCTCAGACTGTTCAGGGCGAGCTATATGGAAATTAAAACTGTTCGATACAGTATTATGATGTTTGTGTCATAAAATATGTCCCATTACTAACGAGATATATATATATATATATATATATGCTCCACAATAAATGAAATGTGCTCATATGGCCTTAACCGGAAGAGACAAGGATTCAGGGCGGGGCTTATTTCTTCTTCTTTTAAATAAACTCGTTCTTTCTTTGCTACAGCGCCTCCTCTTAGCTTGTCATTACACTGCAGTCATCTCCCGTCATAGCCATAGGAGCCATGTATGTAATGGTGCCTACTGTATCTCTTTATTTAAATCATCATTATCATTTGCATAAATATTTGTGTAACAAATGTGATGTGAGAGAACACATCATGCAGTATGAGGGACCTGTATTTGGTCATTCTTTTTTTAGCTTATGCTTATACAGTTTTTACAAAAGTTTCGTTTCACTTCCCCCTTGTTGTCTTTGTTGCTCATACATCACATCACGCTTTCCTTCATTTTTTAATAACTATTTCCCAATCTTTGTTATGATCACCCCAATGAGTAGAAAAGGTAATTCAATAGGCTATATACAATTATGACCCTTGACCTCACAATAGCTTTTTTACACAGCTTTTCAAAATGTGATAATACACTATTTTAACACACACAATAACTCTATCAACTATTCATTAATGAACACTGTTTTATGAAACCTATACAGTGATATAATTTCAGGCTATTGCAAATAGCAAATAATGCGAGCTTTTGTGATAATTTTCTCCTCCAGTGTTTGAGCCACATGCTTAAAGTTCCCATGTCATGCTTTACCGGTTATTACCCGTCCCCTTGTGTGTTATGAAGGTTTTATGCATGTAAACGGTCTGCAAAGTGACAAACCCTCAAAGTACACCCTGTAGCGAGTACAACTCTAACACAGAAAAGACCTGTCTATGCTGCTCCAGAACGCCTCGTTGGAGATTTATCTTTTTCTTTTGTTTTCTTCCTGGGTACAGTGACGTGCTCATACCCAAATGGACCCATTGGTCCAAATGGACCAATCCGTGGAGCCGTTACGTCCGAGGAGCCCTAACGTTAAGTCACACACACACACACACACACACACTCAATCTTTTCTCAGCTGCAGCTCCGCCGATTTCTCCTCCCTGAGACAGCGGGACGCGGCGAGGTGAGTCTGTGTGTGAGCGCACACACAAACTCCCAGCCAGGCTGCGGGTGTGTGTGTGCTCGGGCTGGTTTCGGGCTGGGTTTCGCTGTGTCTCGCTGTCTCGCCGACGGCCACTGGCATGAGAAACCAATGTGAGTTTGGAAAATTGAACAATATAAATCTATTTTAGTATACCTCAACAATGGAATTATGATCAGTAGAAATGGCCATGACATGGGACCTTTAAATCTACTGTATGCTTATTACATTTGTAAATCTGCTCCTTTCAATCTTATCTTAAATCATCTTTAGGCTAATCAAATGTGTCTGAAAACCAGTTTTGGTAACTGGGAACGTTTCTTAGAGGGTCTTTGTAGGTTTCATTAAAATAAACATACTGGCAACTTTCCCAAAATGTTATTGCAAGAAATATAGCCAAACCTTTATGCATGCAACCTGTTGCTAGGATGTTTCTGTTTTTCTCTAAACTATTTATTTTAATAGTTTTGCC